TTGTCTGTCCCCAATCTATTGTCTGTCCTCTATCTATTGTCTGTCATCTTTCTATTGTCTGTCCTCTATCTATTGTCTGTCCCCAATCTATTGTCTGTCATCTATCTATTGTCTGTCCTCTATCTATTGTCTGTCCTCTATCTATTGTCTGTCCTCTATCTATTGTCTGTCCTCTATCTATTGTCTGTCCCCAATCTATTGTCTGTCCCCAATCTATTGTCTGTCCTCTATTGTTTTGAGTCCATGACGGAATGTTTCAAAAATACTGAAACATGTCTATTATTACAGTACATGTACAAGACTGTAACATTAAATACATGTACATGGCCATGTATGTGGTGTAGATTGGTCATTCTAAAAATTCAGGGTCCAAAAGTGTGACATTTTTGTATCCCTGTTACACCTGACCCGTGTCATTTGACATGGAAATATCGCTGAAATTGATTTCAATCTCTTTCAATTTGTGTGGCAGGTAATTTGCATTAATTCATCGCTCTTGGAATTAGAAAATACGTTCTGACCTTACATGTACAAAATCCTATGTCAGGTGCAAGAGGGATATGAAACAAAATTGGACCCCTAATTTACAGAATGACCCAGGGTTTTTTTCCCACATACTTACAGTTAAAAAACTCAAAGAAAAAAAAAAATCTTCCCCAACTGTGAATACAATCTGCACTGGATTTTTACGGATGGCTTCCTTGATGTTTCTTCGGTATTTTGCTGAAAAATATTAGACCCTAATAAAAAGAAATCCACCTGAGAGTATAAAATATGGACCTGGCTAGGTCCACACAAGGCTCCGACAACCTGCATTATGTGGGCCCATTTTGTTTTCAAGACCACACAAGATATGCAAAGCCAGCTTCCAGAAACGTCTTAAAATCCCCCAAAGCCCTGTTTTCCACTTAAGACCCTCAAAATGATCAAGTCAGAGTTTGCAGTCTTTGCATTTGATCCGAACAGGGCAATGACACTGGAGCCAGAGATACGGCAGAAGCTAGACATGAAGCCACAATTAAAAAAAAATTGGACTAGGAACATGGACCATATCATCCTTTGCTGTGACCTTAACACAGGGTTAGGTTTAATCCAAGCAGACCTTGTTGAATCTGAAACGAGTTTCAGTCCACAGTCATGCAGGAAATGATGATCAATACGTGACAATTCCAAAATCAGAGGAGGCAAAACTGTTACAGAATGCAGATGGCCTTCCGAAAACAGGAAGAAAAAAAAAACCCCAAAACACGTGCAGACGTTCAAAACGTGAGATTTGTGCCACACGTAGGTAAATATGGTTTCATATTTCAGTATCATAACTGGCATAGCATTTGCATTTCCAAGCACAGAAACAAAATCACTACAGAAAAAAGGAAAAAACAATTCCTTTTCGACACATTTTAAGCACAATTCTAAAACACTTGGCATAGTTGTACAGAAGGTTTCATTTACTTTGAAGCTGCTTTTCTCTTTACCTTCCAGGGCAAATTGGGATGTGTACTGCCCCATATCCTCTAACAACAGCTGTGCCACTGAAGTCCAAGCCATAAACGCTGACTACAATCTGGGGCCCTGCCGGAATGCATCAAAAATCGAAACCGCTACTGAAAGTGATTCATATCAACATCCGATTGAGTTTAAGTGTGGGCACAAAAGACGATCCTGATCATTTAATACAGCAATGCCTTCGATCAACACAGCACCTTGTAACAAGTACGCGATACCATAAATGGTGCAGCCTGGTTTTGATGGGGGGAGGGAGGAGAACGGGAGAATTTTTCTCGAAAGAACAAATTCAACGAGATTGTTTTGCTTTGACATAGGTTTCATTGGCAGGAAGTGTGGGGGGGGAACTGGAGGGTTGAATTACCTGAGCATTCCACTGAAAAACAGCAGTAAAACCAACCCCTCGATGTACGTAAAATGCACATGCAGACCTGCTAACCTGTCGTACCCCTTCCTGAGGTCAGACAATAACACACAATATTTTAAAAGGTCATTAAATGAGCCCTCAGTTCATTTAAAATTCCAATCCATTATGTGGTGATGCCTGACCTCAGGAAGGAGTAAGACATGTTGGCAGGTACGTGTATGCACATGGTGTAAAGTTACCTGTACCTAGTAAAATGTGCAACAAAAGTTCCCATACTGTAATTAACATAGAAACTACATCGACTATTATTCGTAAAACCACCAAATTCAACACTTGTCAAATTCAACATTATACAAACTCAAAACCATTTCCCACTGAATTTTGTCATGATATTTTATTTGCTCTAACGGTAGGAGTCTACTGTTTCAGACATGTCAGAGGGACCAATCCCCGAGCAAGGTCGGGGCTGAAGTTGAAGCAGCAATGATAATTTGTCCACGAGGTTGTTATAAAAGCCCTGTGCAGTAAACCCGTGTGGGACACTTGTTGGCTAGTGCATGAGCTCAACACGACTGTGCCTCAAGCGACTGACTATGGCTCTGATTAACACACACTTCTATGGGATGTGCCTGCAGCCCTAGCCTGGGGCTTTGGGTTTGTGACATTGACAGCTGCAGCAACAACTTTTTGATCCAGCCTGCCTTCCTTGGGTGACAATCACAGCGCCCTCTAGTGTTCTTACCCAGAGCCCACAGATGAGACATGCTCTGAAACAAAGCTTTTGATGTCTTCTGGCCTGGGAGACAGGTTGACATGGTGATTCTTTCCAAAGAGCTTAATGTACATGTAATTATTAAATGGAGCACTAGATTGGAATGCTCTGGTTATTTTGATGTCTGAAACCTTGAAAATGGGGTCAGTTCTGATTGAATCGGAACGGTTAGCAGGTATGCTGAAGTAACAAATAATAACAACGGGTGAAACTGTGAAGTACATGTAGGTTGCTTACAGCCATGGGGATTGGTGCTCTTAAAGGTAACCTCCAACGGGAAATTCCAGACAAACAGCTGTCTCCCATCTTGGCTTTTCTTGCACACCTGAGATATGCCTTCCTCGAGACCCTACAATGACAACGCAGATGAAAACACACACATGGAATATATAGAAAGGAATTCATAAAGATTACAAGTAGCATTCGTTGCCGCGGTATATTTACAAGGTCCCTAATTTTGCCACCTGTTGTGGAGTCTGATTGGTGTTGACATTAAGTGGCAAAATAATGGACCTGGTAACGATCTGCACTGAGCTGAAGTGCACCCTCACTGGTGAAAGAAAGACAGATGGTACTAAGTTTTTCAGCCGGGTTCTAGCATGGTTCGGTGTGCACCCGAAGACCACATATTCTAGACAAAAGCCGTTCCGCGTACTCAGCGTGCTCCGCGTCAAATGCCCATAAACTTGCGCACCTATGTGGTGCGTGAGTACCAAAAGAATGTTGATTTCATTTAAAAACATGCCCTCTTTTGTTCCTGCTCGGAGCGGATACGGTCACGACGACGTTAGATTTTGGTCAGTCCACAGTCTTGGCACTATTGAATTTGAAATTGAAATTGTTTCATTTAATCACTTAGCCAAACAAAGTTCACCTCCAAGTTCCACGAGAATATAGACAAAAACTGTGACAACTGAAAAACCAGCCACAGGACTCACAGTTGAGACACTTTTCAGAATTAAAATGCATGTAGTTGAATAACGCATTCTTTAAATCTCAATAGCTGTATTCATGACATGATGAAGGTTACTTGTAAAAGCCATAAATGTACCTACATGTAACTGGAATATGTAGCTCGTAAAATCACTGGCAATTAATGGAGAAAAAATTAATACAGAAACTGAATGTGGATGATTTCTGTTTAAGCCTGTTTTTCGTTTGGCTGTAGTGCATCTCAAATGATGGTTGTTGGGATCTACATGTATTTTCCCAAGGGCTCCCTGACAGATTTAGGATATGCAAAAGAGATTTGGTTTTCATACATTGAGCAAAATTAAATGACTAGAGTCCTTACTTCTTGTTCTCCGTGAAGAGAAACTTTGACTCTGTCCTGGGCGCAGACATTTCAAATCCATGTGTGTGCTTGTAGAACATTCGAAATCGGATAGAATGAATATTGAATTATGTACTCTAAATGCAACGCACATCATTTACCGCTAAAACCCGATTTAAAAAGTCACGGCAAAATTATCTGCAACGTATGCATGTACATGCACGCGTGCACAAGTTTGCACTGTTCATGCAAAATGAAAAGCTCATTTACTAATTGTGTATTAGGTTTTGTATATTTGTTTTGTGACATATCATTTTAGAATACAGATGCAGATATGGAAATTACCGTACAAAAGCCGTACAAAATTTGGAGTTTTCCACAAGTTTGTGTTCAAACATGGATAAGCCCAGCAGGCATCACTTTGTACATGAATTAGCACTTTAGTTTTAATACATACAGCTCTATGGGTTCATACAATTTAAATTACAACAAAGTCACAAATCCGATCTGGCAACTCACCGATGTTATGACCCAATCCGGTCCAAAGACAAAATTGTACTTGACATAAAGATCGTCAAACTCTGGAAACTGGGATGAGAAAAGGGGATAATGAAGGTATAATCTACAAATCAACTCAAAAGACAAAGCTCAAATAGTGTGTTCAACTGCTTCCCTTAAGCTTACCCATGATATTGTCATCATTTTAGCTGAGCATGCGTATTATGTGGATATCAACGAATGACCTTGGGTTACTCAAGGTACTCAACTCAGTCAAAAGGTCATGAAGATCTTAAATTTGTAACATGAACTAGTGAAAACAATGAATATCCACAAAAGTATGTGTACCATATGCCTGACTTTTATTTCATATAATTTGGGGGCTACTTGACAAGGAGTAATTGCAGAATAGCCCATCACTTGAACATACATCCCTGAAATCACTGCTCATGTGCGTAAGAGGTGAAAATCCACATTAAAACAGTGTGACGTTTCAACCTCAAGTGTAGTTAAAATGTACTTTGCTAGGTTGGGCCAGCCAGCCGACCCTAGCAAACTGGGTGGACGAGTGGCTAAAACGTCTGCACTAGTAAGCAGGAGGTCATGGGTTCGAGTCCCACCCGAGCAAGCTTGTGAATTTTTTCGACAAGCACTGAGACAAGCACTGAGTATACAGTGTTTAGAAATGTATATGTCGGGTAAGGGCAAAACCCGTCATTAAAATTTACCTCAAGTGTAGCCAGCACTGAGGCTGATTATGCGGGGTGGCAGGGTATTCTGCAATTGAGCTCTTGACTTGAGGCAATTTGCCCGTATAGTACGATTTTGCTGACCTATTTACGTGGCATCAACTTTGCGTTACATCATTCAACTAAGGTGAAGGACAAATTTCTCTTTTCTTCCCACATGTACACTCAGTTCCTATATTATCATGGCAACTCTCTTATTGTGGTATCGGAAATTTTAAATTTTGCGTTGGCAGTGGTTTCCCTATCAGCAATATTCGTCAAGGTAATCAATAATTTATGACCTGAGGATAAGTTTTATTAACCAGAGAGGAAAAAGTCTGTATGCTTCTGTAAGTTTTTAACCCCTTCGTGGCGGGATTATTTTGAACGCAACAGCTGGGCTATGCTATGCCCTGAATGGACAGTTTTGTCCAGCAGTGGCATGGTGAATAGACTGTATTTGTGGTATGCATTAATCCTCACACAATGGTGCAGTAGTAGTGGTCATCCATAGCGAAGGAATTAATAAAGGATATAATTTTTCCGAAATTTGTAAATTCTCCTTGACTGTGTTTGTCATTGCTCTCCGAGCCCGGGGCAATTAGGAAATAATTACCTTGGCATTGTTGTCGCAATTTTTTTGCTTTTCTTATACAATTTGAAGAATTGGCAATGGATATTTAAATTTTGAATACAATAGTTCAGGTCTAATGAGATGGTTATAATTCTCAGAGAATTAGAACACAGAAAGAAGACATTTTCAACAATTGTTTCAGACATAGACAAAAGAATGAGTCCACCCAAAAAATGAAATTTGCATTACCCACATTCCTTCGGCAAAACACAAATTTCAGTAATAAGATGAATGTCAAAAGTTATTGCTACATCTAAGATTGGGATAAAAAAGTTCCGGTGAAAAAATGATGTCGTTCCTTTCCAGATTAATAAGCGTAAGGTGATGCAGTGCAATTCTTCCCCTCTCATTTCCTTGGTGTTTGGCATCTTTAACCCTAACACAATCCTTCACCTGTTGGATGACTGAGGAGTGTTAGGGTTAAGGAGGAGACTGGAAAGATGGAGTCAATTACAGGTAAAACGGAGCAGTATCACAAAATGAAGTGGTTTTGATTCCTCTGAAAACAAAATCATTCTTTTTATCTTTATTTATTCATAAACAAAGTGCTTTCAAGACCAGTGTTGAAACCATTTCTTGATACCACGATAATACTATAGAGACTCCACCTCCGCTTGCATACGGCGCACACACAGATTTTCTGAGCTATCATAGAGGAAAATAAATTGAACCAAAATAAAATTTTATGCATCAAGTTAAAACGTAAGAGTTAAACAACAGCAAGGATAGGTTAGGCCTAGTTCAGGAAGGTGAGCGAGCCATCTTTATTTCAATCGGGAAATGTGATAACTACCGCGATAATTGAGTGACCCATAATAAGTAGGCCTAGGCCTACATGTATGATGTAAACTTTACCACCATCATTGGAATCTCTGATTGCCACTGAATTCTAAAGTCAATGGGAGCATGAGACAGTTTAAGAACCGTTTTGGAGGTGAATTCTGAGATTTGATTCGGGGTATGACAATGTATGATAGATCCCTATTCCCAATCCCCCAAGGCTAAAATGCTGCATCCTGGCTCCACTTTTCTCATCATACATCATCTCAATAAAAGTCATTCATTACAGAAATGCTGGAAAGACATGAATTCTGGACTGAGAAACATTTACCGATGTTGTTGGGGAATACTTAGAAAATTCTGTTCACTCCCCATAGACTTCGTACACAACTGCTGAAGTGGAGTCAGGATGCAATATTTTTCCCTCCTCCCATTTCAATATGATACACCCTAGGCATGCTGGGGGTTAGGGTTCATGGAAGGGAATGTCAGGTCCGACTAACGTTAGTCTCTTCATTTGACTTTAAGGAAAATAACAAATTACAAAAGTCCTGTCGTTAAATCACAGAAAATAATAAATTTTCTTTAAGAATCTGATGTGTTGACTTACATCGCCGCTTTCAATTTGCCCACTTAACATCAACAAAAACACTGTAGGATTGCTCGCCATTTTCACTTAACTGTAACTACCGGGGAATTTACCGCTACAGTATTCGGGAATAGTGCCCTCAACAGTTTGGCATTTTGTTCTCTCGTTCGCTCGTCCCAAAAGTGGTACCGATTAATATCTGCAAGATCTCATTGGGTAGATATATTAGCATTATCCAACGGTAAACGCCGCATGCGCCAATGTTAAACAAGGCGCCAGTATACTACCCACAATGCCTAATCACGTCTCAAAAGTGGCACAAATGAGATTAGCCGGTGCCATTGAAGCGCATGATAAGAGGGTGATCGGTCACGATTTTGGAGACAGGTCGTATACCCAGTGTCTTCCCATGCAAGATGTAGGAGACTTCAATACATGTTAAAGTTCTCCATACATTTGGTAAAAAACGAAAGTAACCATCTCGTCTGCTCGTACTTCCAGAACTGTAACTTATAACTTCTGGAAGTACTCTGCTCGAGGGGTGCCTGTGTTGCGGTGCTTTTGAGAAAAACTGTGCAATGAATTGGAACAGTGCATTCATAACAGGTTTGGAAAGTGAAGAACTGCACTATTTCTGTTTTCATTAGTGTAAATTACTTGGCCAACGACGAATGCTGGTGCATGGCGCGGGGAGCCGGAGGGTGGGGAAGGGGACTTGTAGCGCAGGTAGGCCTACTATCCACGGAAGACACTTGTCTCACATGTCGCCATTCACGTCAGCAGTCGGCTTCTGACACATCCTGTTAACTTGTCACTCAACCATGTCGACTACTCTTGTTGGAAGAAGCCTCCATCATGTCCATTCAATTACTAGGCCTAGGCATACATCATGTAATTACAATGTTTGGTTTTAGGCCCTAGGCCTAGGCCTATAGCATTTTAAAATGAATCGGCCTACAGGAATGTTATGACTTTTGGGGTAGGGGTAGGCCTGTCAAGAATTAGAACAATGAAAGCGAAGAATTATGACATTGAAATCAAGACATTGTGCAATGGGCTAGGTTTCATAGGGTTAAATTTCTGCCCATTCTGTCTCATGCAGTGTTAAAAGTCAGAAATCTGGAAACTTCAGTGCATTTCTGCATAGCATTGAATAGCGTGATTGGGCATTTTTCCCTTCGCGCAATAGTGACATCATGTTAACTGTGAAAATGTTCGTGCTATTCTCGCTGTTGAAGGTTGTTAAATTTATTGTGCATGTACATGTAAGTGGGCAAAGCCGAAGGAGCAACTCTCTGTTCACTTTGTACAGAGATTTTCATGTTTCCTCCTTTTTTGCTGCCACAGGATAAAAATAACTGTAAACTTTTCGGTTTAGTGTGGGAGATACAATGTATTCATGGCATTTAAATAGTGAAATTTTGGGTATATTTGATGTAAAGGCAAAGACTAAGAGTTTAGATAATCAATAATTTAGATTTTCCCCATTGACCACAACACTATTTTTGCCCCTTTGAGTTTTGAGTGTGAAATATGCAGTAGCCACCAATGGCCAATCAGAAGAATCAAAACTCAGTGGTGTCATCCCGACTGTGAGATTCCATTTTGCCACCTCTTTTAATGGGATAGGATTGACTGTCCTCAAGACATACAGGTGGCTGAACAAGATACCAATGCGATTTTCATTTTTGAAGTTAAAAAATAATAATTTATTAACCACTGTTATTTTCACTTGTACTCCCAACTTTGTGTTAGTAAAACTATTTTGGGCAATTTTTGAAAATGGTTTTGATGTTCTTTCAGATAATCTTAGAAAATCATGTCAAACGTTAGCAGGGGACCCCTACATGTACATCTGAAAGCAGTGACAGAATACTCGAGTCTGGACTCAAACTCGAGTCCAATTCTTTGGGACTCGTGACTCAGCTCGGACTTTGGGCATTTTTGACTCGGCTTGGCTCGGACTCGGCTAGTGGCTGACTTGGACTACTTACTGGACTCGAATCAAGTCCATTCAAAAACCTGTTTTTAAAATTCAGAAATTTCATTGGAAAAATGGTCCGCATCTGTTGTCCATAATTGTTTGGTTATGAACCATCATTTTCGGGGTCTAGGATAATGGCAAACGTGTAAAAAGCAGACAACTGATTCAACAGAGTTGCCTGTGCTGTGCAGCACAAAAACATTTCACAGGAAGGACTGACTTGTTCGTAGTTAGTTTTCCTCTTGTGACTTGTGCTCGTCATCATTGCACAAGAGATTGAGAGTGACAGTAACACCATAAAACTCCTTGATGCAATTTTAGACATACATGTAGTCTATGCTTCATTAAGATCATTTTTTTTAATCTGTAAATACAGAATGTTTGGATTAAATTCAGGACACAAAAAGTTTGTTCATCATTTTGGAATCACTGGACAGGTAAAAAATTTGGATATGCTAAGACTGGTATAAAGTTTTTATGCGCCTGACTAAATGAAACCGCGTAAAGAAATATGCAAAGTTGACTGGTGTCCTGTCCACCTTTTTATACACAAGTTCACAGGTACATGTACATTACATTCTGCGTACATGCACGATCACGTTTAGTCATTTGCCTTGAGCGTTTTGCCCTCAGTTCATCAAAACATGCTCCTGTCACAGTCACAGATAATCCGTTTGGCTTTACAACAAGCCATCAAGAAGCAGCTGACCTTCAGAAAGCCAAATGCAAATTCTGTGGCAAGGTGTGCACAGAGAAGTTGGAAACAACTTCGTGTGGCAACTTTGGAGGAATTCTTTTTTTTTAAAGTAAACATTCACTTCTGACTTGTGGATACTTATTAATGTTAATTTTGCAAAACTTCCCATTGTCTTGGGCTTTGTGAGCCACAATTTTTTCGTGTGTTCTTGTAAAACCCTGGCGAGGTGGTGTGTGCATGTTTGATCCTGTTCTGAGAACTGTCCTCTTGGGTTGTGTTCCTGCTGTTTGAGCATGAGAACAAGAAACCTGTGTCAATAACAGGCTGCCCGAACTCGACCCAAGAGTTTAACTCAAGATTATTTCAGGAAAGGAATTTACCAGGATTTCTATTTCTGTGCAGTTTGGAAAAAGATACAAAATGTACCACATTAGAGGGCATGCCTTATTTAATGTATACACTGGTGGCAGCGTAAAGGGGTCTTCACTGATGGTATTGCATCATTCTATCTGACACCAGCCTTCCACTCATCGTAAAATTGTACAGACTCCTGCCACAACCTGTTTTCAAGACTGATGTGAGGACATATTTGTGTTAAGTTTAAAACATGGTTCAGGCACGGGCCAAATTTCTGGTTGCTTCATTTATTTTTGCAGTGAGCCTGTGCGGGAGGCTAGCAAGCCAGTGCTTCAAGATCAGGTACGGCTTGGCTTATTGCTGCCTCCGCAGTTGTCAACGTGCCCCAATTGGCCAGAGGTTCGCTAGCAGTGGGAAACCAGCTCTAAGGATATGCATTGTGGGTAGTGGCCCAGCGGGCTTTTACACTGCAAATGGGCTGCTGAAGGTGCATTTATGCATATTTTCTGAAAACTTTTCATTGCATTGGGCACGCTGGGGGCGTGATTTCTCATAATCAATTCCATATTTTAAAATGTTGACCTTAATTTGTGGAATCTCAGACTTTAAATCATTCAGGTTCGAATTTCTACCTCTGCACATGTACAAATAACTGAAAGCAGAAGTTACATAATCATGGCATTTTATGAGAGAACTCTGCCCTTATTAAAACCTGTAAATCACAGTATTCTGTGGTTATTGTTCCAGCCCTGATGGCTGGATATTTTTAGGACTTCTTTTCATCGCCCATTTCAAGTTGAGCTGAAAGTTGCATTCCTGTTGGATGTCTTTGGGAAAACTTGCAGAGACTGTTAATTTGACCAATTTAAATCGCACCATGGAAAGCCTCTTTTTTTTTTTTTTGCCTTAGCAAGAAGTCAACAAAATGTTGAAATATTGTCCCTCCAAAAAAGAGAAATCAGCGAACAGTGTTTTTTGGTGCTCTATACACGGTCTCCTTGATTAACATTGTAATGTTGCACAACAAAGTCTGCTTGACTAAACAGAAAAATGTCAGTGCTACTGAAAGAGTTCATTTTGTTATTTAGTATATAAATGTTTGAAATTTACTCATTTGTTGAAGTCTTGACTGGTAAGGACTCCTACATATATGCTGTCCTTTATTTTACTCCTTTTGCAGGGTAATACAGAATGTAAAGTTGACATCTACGATAAGCTTCCTGTACCTTATGGTCTCGTTAGATATGGAGTAGCACCTGATCATCCAGAGGTTAAGGTAACAAATCAATAGAGTGCACGAATAGATTTGATTCACAAAACAACTTGAACCTGTTAGAACCAATATTTGTCTTTCAGTGGACACACAGGCACTTCCCGCTTTAGTGCATAGTGCTGAGTGGTAGGTGTTGCATGGAAAGTTGGCCATTGCCTTGTCAAAATATGCAGCTGTCATCTTCAGGGAAACAGCTGTAGTTGGCAACACTGTTTGCTGCCCTCTGTTGTGCAAAGCCACAATTCTGAAGCTGCTAAGTGCACTGTTGTTGTTGAAATCATAACTATGCTGGGATACGTGTACATGTAGAAGTGCCAAAACTGACCTAAAAGTTTAGAAAAACAGGGTTTGGATCACACCAGAGGTTGCATTTTAACTTTTTTAAATGAAGAAAGAAAACTTTTGCAGTAGGTAATGGTTAGGTTTAATCCTAAACTTTGGACCACTCAATATCATTTTCAAAGTTTAATGTTCTTTGTTCATGCTTTTCAACGATAACTGGAACGACTTTCACCTTGCCACGAATGAAGTTTCCTTGTTTGTGAATTCCATCCTGTATTGTGAACACGGTTTTCGGACTGCTATTAAGTTTAATGTTGAGTAACTCATTCTACAATAAACACCAGGTACAGTAGTCTATCACAAAATCGACAAGGATATAACATCAAATCAGTGCTCTGGAATACGTGATTGCCGAGGTTTCGATAACTGAGTACCCTCTTCAGGGCAAGTAGATTCAGTTCTGAATGAACGCAGAAAAATCGACGGTCATTCCCCCTGGATGCAGCGTTCCAAGTTCAAAAATGACGCACTGCTCCAGTTCCTTACGCTGTACATCAGATGACGCTTTCCGCAGGATGCAGACGCTTATGTCACAGAGAGTACATGAATGTGGCGGCGTGCAAAACATGCTGCTCAACAGTGAGACCAGGTGTTTGTTGGCGCACACTGCACAAGTGTTCCGGTGATAGCACCAACAATATCATTGATGTATCGCCGGTACATTAACGGCTGCACGCCCTGATATTGGGTCACATATTCACATATTCCAGAGCACTGATTTTATATCATATTGTTGTCAATATTTGGATTCTGTCTTCCTCGTCATAAGTAACGTAAATTTATGAAAAGAAATCCTGACAAGTGTTGTATGGATTGTTTTTACTATTAGCTCCTTTTTTTTGGATAATACATGTTTTACAGTCACTGTATGACAGAATTTAGAGAAAAACTTTGATATTGGGATCCAAGATGTATGCGATGATTGCACAGTGCCTTCTGTGGTCCAACAGCCAACTCACTTTGAATTTTAGCCACGCAAAATTTTTCTCTCTGTGGCACTGAAGTTTGCCGGCTTTTATTGCTCAGTATGGCACAAATAATGATAAGTTTTGAAATTCAGGCAATGAGCTCCACAGAATCTAAGACCTCGGTGGCTAATTCTGTATTTTTGTTGTTCAAGAACTAATCACATGGCTTTTGGTATGTTTTGTTTTCTTGCTGTGAGGATTCAAAAGATTTATGAATTATGGAAAATTGCTAGTGAATAGAAGTAAATTCATGATTTGGAGATG